AAAGGTCACTCCCCAATCCTATTCCCTGTCAAAATATCAGCTTAAAAAAAAACAGACAAAGGAGTAGATGATGGCTAAAAAAACAAACAAACAAAAGATATGTAGAGATTTGCCTTTAGGAATTGGCTTATAGGTGGAGTAGATATGCATTAGAACAATGGTCCAGGGGAATGGCAGGGGTTAATTGGTTTTTAAAAGCCTGTTTGTGACAACGTTTCCTTCAAGGCAGACCCTTTCTGAGGCCAATGGACAAGTGGGCATAAACAGACTGGGAATTTATACACTGTTCCCTGAAAATCCATAACACAAGATAGGCGTGGCGCATTGGCTAGGTCACAGTGACCAGCTGCAGAGCCCCTAGAGATTTCCAGTTTTGGTGGATGGACCAAATTAGGAGGCTGAAACATGCCCAAATTAAGACACCAGTATATGACCAAATTAAGATGTGTGCATATGATGGGTTTGTTGAAACAAAGAAATATGCTGACAGGACAGAACGTGGATAGTTTGACTACCATAGGGACACCAATCAATGGTACCTGGAAATGAAGAGTCATCAGAAGAGGGAAAGGATATAAAAGGAAGGATTTTCAGAGTAGCAAAAGGTCCCTGAGAAGGTGGATTTTGAGGCCACCATGAGCAGAGGGCACACCACCAAGCCGGTCTCACCCACCCCACTTGGGGTTAGGGTTGGAGTTGGGCCATGGCCCTTGACCTCCAGGCATCTGACATTCAAGAATGAACCACAGAGTGAAGCTCACATATTGGCCAGATGTATCCTTCCCTCTGTGACAGCTTTAGGTCTGGCAGATATAAAATCAGAAGGGGTGGGGAGGAGGGGGAAAGGGGAAGAGTGGTATTTTGCTTACCTTGCCTGCATTACTCTTATCTGCTATCACTGTGTATCAATAAAATTTGCCTATTATTGAATGGAAGAAGTTGTGGTAGGTCTGAGGGTTTGGGTCCGCCTGGAATAAGGTCACAATTCCAGTGCCAACAGTTGGTTCTACCTCCTTATAAAAGGAAACTGAGGGGGAAGAGGAATATATACCTAATGATTAGTTAACCAAGTCAATGGTGCATCCCAAAATAATTTCATTAACTCTCCCATGGATGGATTTGAAAGGTTGAGAAGAAGAAACTGACTTTGAGGGGATGGACATTTTTTGGGTAAAGGAGGGTTGAGAGGAGAGTATTTCTTAAGGATTGCCACATAGAAGGCAATCCTTAAGAAACAGAGCTTGGAAGGCCTGAGAAACTGCTCTGTTTAGGCTGTAGTTTTACCATTTAACTGATGACTCTTTTGCAAAGTATATATGAAAGGATAGGTTCTCCAGAAAGTGATGGCATTGACCCAGGAAAATTTCCTGTTTAACTTCAGCAAGTTGGTTTTCAAACACTCTTCATCTAAACATTCTTCTCTCTCAACACTAAATAAAAATAGGGACTACACTGACAATTTCCAGGGTCATACTTTATATACACGTTAGGAAAGTCAAATTTTATTACATTTCAGTGTATAAGTTAAATGTCTACTTAAAAAGGAGCTTCATACAATTCAGACACCTCTAAGTCAAACTGTCAGATAAATTATGATTGAAGTATTTTTTCCTAAAATTATGATTTATTAAAACACATTTCCTTCTGAAAAGTAAAAATACTATATCCTTTACTTCCAAACTGAAATGCCTACAGTAAAATATTTTATTATTCTACAATATGTGAGAATGCTAGAGCTATATCTGAAATTACAAACACTTTGAAATGTACGTTTAATTACTTCAGGACACATACCAACTGCTCACTGACACTGGTGAATTGTTATATGAATAGTCCCACTGGACTCAATAAACCAAAATAGTCAACCATATGGTGGTAACAGTTAAAAAGGAGTCTGGTCTGCAAAAAGGCTCAAATCTTTTGAGATAGAGGGATTTGGAGAGAAGATTTTTTTTCAGATGTATTTTACTAAACCTCCAGTAGAAATGTTGTGAATGATATACATGTTTTAGATGACACTGCACCACAAAATACTGTATTACATCTTGGTTATGTAGCACAGACCTCAATGACTTAGAAAAAGACCCATTATTCAGAGAGCAGGATTTAATTAAATAGTATAGAGTCTAAAACTTCTAGAAGGGTTCATGTTTTAACAAAGTCCTAATGGATGGTTATTTAAATGTTAAATAAATCCTTGCTCATGACCTCTTAAATAGGAGTCATCCTGATAGGTAATTTAAAGAAGTCAAAATATCCACCACTACATACAGTACTATGGGAAAACAGTTTTCATTTTAATTAGAACAGTTTGATTATCTTCATCAGACAGATCTCCACTGTTCTCCAGTAAGTATGAAAGGTGACAAGAAACTCCATCTGCACTATGGAAAACATGTCTCTGTTGAGTTTTAGCTTTCTATCCCAAAACATTCGGGTAGCACAAGCAGGTCAAATGATGGCAAAATTATATTTATAATGGTAATTTTTCCACATACTTCATATTAAAAATAGCCAAACTCCTAGTTGAAGATTTCTGAAAACAAAATTGATCTTTGGCTTGGAGAATATCATATTGACTTGATTAAAAAGTGAGGTCTGTTCCCCGCCCCCTCCCAACCTCCCCATAGTTAACATAAGGTGAGAGGGAAAGCCCCTCATCTTACAATCAAGTACAATGTGGGGGAGTGAAGGCAGCTGCTGTGGCTCCAGTCCCAACCTTGGGTCGTGGCTGGAGCCGCAGGTGCTGCCTGCCCCGTGCTACTTCTGCACCCCAGCCTCCACTCCTCACCTGCAGCCTCAAGCCCTCACTGCCTCTCCCACCCACTCCACTTCTCCCCATCTCTCCCCTTTCCCCACCCCCACTGTACTCCCTCTTACCTTTGCTCTGTGCCAGCAGGCTCTGTCCTTGCTGCAGCCTGGAGCACAGAGCATGGCTCCAGCCCAGCCCTGTAGCCACGGTGCTGGCTCTGTACTTCTACTATGGGGTCAGGCTGGAGTCAAGTTCAGTGCCCCCAGGCTTCAGCAGGGACAGAGACTGCTGAAGTAAAAGGTAAGGCAGAGGTAAAGGTGCAGACAGGGGAGAAAAACTTCAAGAGACAGGGAGAGGAGGGGATGGAGATGCAGAAGCTGTGTGGAAGGGGGAAGAGGAAGATGATGGGGGAAGGGGGAATAGGGGCCTGAGGCTGTGGGGCACAGGCATAAGTGGGAGGTAGGAGAGATAGGTGGCAGGGCGCAAGCTGCCTGCCTATCCCACTGCCTCCACCTTGCCTGTCCCCTACTGCCTCCCCCACTGCCCGCCCTAGCACATAGCTCTCTGCTGCACTCCTAGTCTGTCCCCGCACTGCTTGCCCCATTACTGCCTCCCCTTGTCTATAGTAGTGGCAGGGGGATGAATTTAAATCCTCCAACAATTAGATTCTCTACATGGAGCATATAATGCATTTATACATTTTCTGTGTATAGAATCCAATTATTTGGGGGTCATCTTAAATTCAGGGTCATCTTCTATTTGGACAAATAAGATGCATGGAAAACAAATCAGTCCAACACATGTCATTCTAGACTGGAAATGGTTGCTAGCATTAAGTAAAAGGTGCCACTGCACATTTTAAGGCCTATACTAAGTATGTATTATCTAGAATTAAGCACTTGTCTGGATAACACGTTTGGGCTGTTTCCCACTCCAGTACAGAAGGAATTTTCAGAACCAAACAGAAAAGCAGACAGAGTATTCTCATGCCTACACTAGAGAAGATTTGCTGGAATAGCTATACTGACATGGACATACTAACAAATATAATGTAGACCCAGTGCTTTCAATGGTATAGCTTATGATTATTTAAATAAAACTATACATTTATGTCAACAGAACTTGTCTCCATACTAGGCTTGTTGCCAGTACAAGTCAAAATCAAAACAAAACGAAACAAAATCGTACACACTTTCCATCCCTAACTGACATCTCCAAGAGTTTCTAACATAGACCTGATTGCACTCTTTCAAAGTTTTGCACAAAGAGTATTTGAACTCTAGATCATTTTACTTTAGGTGCTAAGGCTAATCTACAACTTTTCAAATGCAAGTATTTCTCATGCAATGATTTAATAAAAAGATTTTCTAGATTTGTTATCTGTCATTTTCATAAAAAAAGAAACTTAAGGAAGAACCCAAGTACAAATTTATGAAATACAGCTGAAACAAAAATAAACTCAAAATTAACTTAAAATGCTTTACAAAACTCTGTAGACAAAGTTGCAGTCGAATACACCAGTTACCTCCAAAGAAGAAATGGCAAAAAGCTACAATGCACTCAAGATGCATTCTTGAGTTTTAGAACAATGAACAGTTTATTAAGTGTAGCTTATCATTAGCTCTTTCACATAAAGTGGAATATTTGACCTCAGTAGCTCCATCAGACTGGCATATCAACACAATGTCAAAATGGCAAAGGACAGTTTTTGGTATGAAAAAGGATTATTGTCATAATGTTGATTCAAATAGGTCTCTCTTTATTGGCAATATTTTAAAGATTCAGTATTTTAAAATTAGAATTGAAAAAGTTATCAATTTTCAGATAGAGACGTTTTGTTTATGGCTTATTCCAACCTCATGTCATATATGACTAAGAGATTTTTGTCCTTTAAAATATTTACTAAAACCAAAAATGTGTATAAAGGCAGCTGCCTTAGGCTAAAACAGAGCTGAAAAATATCTGATGAACAAATGTTGTTTGCTCTTAACCCAATAGTTAGAAGTGCCTGCATACATGGGCTCATTAGAGTTAACCTTATTTCATGTATAAGTAGTGGTTAATTCATGGAACATGACCAGTCTGAACATAACATATCATCAGCAATCAGCATCTTGGTGTGTGTGCCAAACATAGGCTGATATGATCTTTACATTTGTGATGACAAATAAATTAGATGAAGATCACAATAAGAAAGTAAATGAGTGAAATAAATTGAGTGAGTGGCAACAAGCAGTAGCTATGATACCTTCTTTTGTCTGTTTTCGGCAGCAGCCAACTGAGCTGACATTCTCTCTTGCATTTTTCTGCAGTGAGCCATGACAGCTTCTAAAATGGAGAGGGGATTGGTACAGATGGGCTTCTTTTCTTTATCGCCAGCACCTGCCTCAAAATCTCTCTGCAGGGCCAGAAATGGGTCACTGAGATTAAACCTCCCATATCGTTCCTGAATAAAAACCTCCTTTCGGCGTGCCTAGAGGATGGAAAGACAAATGAACAAAAATAATAATTAATGGATATTCAAGAGTTTATGCATACAGACAGCTCTAAAGTAAAGAAGCGTGAAATATTTCTATTACAAATATAAATATTTTGAACTAGCATTTATTTCCTGTTTGTATTTAAACAGACAACCTCAAACATATTTCACATACAGATTTTATGTTTATCAGGGCAGTTTGTAATGCCAATAAACAAAGTCTTCCCTTCTCCATCTAAAGGCAGAAAAGTAAATTCTCTGGAACGGGTTCAGGAATACCACAAAAAATGATGCTGTAAAGTAGCTGATATATAGGCTGAAATTTTTTTGAGATATTTTTATTTTTAGAATTTAATTTTCTAAAAAGAGGTTACTTAAAATACATGAAAACTTCTGTTTCATGCAATTACTGTATCAAAAATAATTATCAGTCTCTCACAACAGCCTGACATTGCTACTTACAAAGGCATGCTATATATAGTTAATTAGATCTAGATTAAATAGGGACAAAGCATTTAAATGTGTCATATGCAACATTTCCTCAGGATCTGTTGTTAGGACACAGGGTATGGTATCACATCTTCAAATTATCCAATTCTACTATTTAGGTGTGTAAACTTTTTTTGCAAAATGCGATACAGTTTTCAGAATGAGAATATTACTGAACAGACTTAACATCGCTTTGGCCTCATAGCAGTTAGACTGAAAGTAGCTTTTTTTGGTTATTAGCCCAAACACACATGACAAAAGCCTGTAATTTAGGCCAGGAAAGGTGCTTGTTTATTACACCATTAAGAAGTACTGGCAAGAGGTTAACACAGACCTACAAATCACTGCTCTGAAAATACTATCTTGCAGAAATATCAGACCTAAAGTCTTCAGTTCCTACTAGGAGATAAGCAGAGCATTTCAAACAGTTGTGCATATTGGACATGAAAGAATCTTGAGACAAATAATAATAGCCAATTTGCATTAGAATATCAAAGACTTCATACTGTTTTTGTGTCCATACCAAGATAAAGCCATAGTTAAAGTGTATAATACAAATGTATGAATATAAAACATTTTTCTTCATAGGCTTTCCCACATGTGGATCAACTTTTAATAGGAAGCACAGATACTGAAACAGATAGATCAAGAGATTGACAATGAAAGTAATGATTGGAAAAGGTATTGAAAAACGGTTGACACTATCTAATTTAGAGAGAGAAAAATCATGAGGTATTATATAGGTATACAAAATAGTGAAGAAACTAAATCAAATCCTCTTATTTATCCTAATATGTGAACCAAGAGTCAGCTTATGAAACTAAGAGAGCAATGGATTTAAAACTGATTAAAGACAATGTTTCTTTTTTAAATACTGGGAATTCATTGGGTTAATATTGTAGTAACCCAATGAATTCACTGTCATAAAATATTATTGAGACAAAAGCTATGGAATAAGTTTAGAAATTTATGTAAATAAGGTCATTCCAATAACCTTACAGAGAACTTAACATAATAAACTAGAGATATAAACATGCCACTAATTGGTAAGAATAAGTCAAAGCACTCTCTGGCAGGTTGTTCCATCTGTGGATCACTGATTTGTGTTCCTAAAAGAACTGCCAACCTAGAAGCCTTTGCAAAGCTATGTGAGAAAAATGCAGGGTACGATCATCTTTAGGGTATAGAGAAATAGAGGTTCTAACCTAGAGACTTTAACAGATCCATCAGCTCCTCATCACCAGAGAAAATTTCAAAGGTTGCCACAAACTCCTAGGCTGCTACTAACTGGGTGCATCTACACATGTAATTAATCTGATGTGATAAACTCCGGTGCACTTCAAGCTGGAGAAAACTGCTTCTGGGCACAGCTTCTGCACATCTGCCTGGGACCACAGCACTTTGAGACAGGGCAGAGCAGCCCCAAGTTGGTAGGGGACATGGAGGGGTCATCCCCAGGCTCTGGGTGGCAACATCAGATGGCAGAGGGCTGACTGCGGCACGAGGGTGCTAAAGTGCAGGGCTAGGTGGAAAGCAACCCCCACAGTTTATCACCCTCCTGCACCAGGTCAGCCCATCACCAGCTACACGTTTCGCCAGAGTAAATTACTCTGCCATAGGATAGTACTGTCCTATGGCAGAGTTAATTTCCTGCACCCTAATACCAGTGCACATGTAAACTATGTTTCAGGGGTGTACTTGGTAGCCGTGTTGGTCTGAGACAAAGAGACATACAGGAAACTAGAACTCTTGGTTCCAAAATGATATCTTTTATTAGACCAACTGGGAAATCACAAGGAAATTGTCCTTTTCTGCAAGCTTTTGGGATCAAAGTCCTTTTCTCAAAGTCCCTCTGTGCAAAAATGAAATTTATTTCCTACCTTTGGGGACTTTTTACCATCTTGTACCATCTATACTTTTCCCAGAGCCTGATGAAGGGACTTTAATCCTGAAAGCTTGCGGAAAAGGACAATTTTCTTGTGATTTCCCAATTGGTCTAATAAAAGGTATAATTTTGCAACCAAGAGCTCTAGTTTTTTGTATGTGTAAACTATGACACTTTAATGCAGAGCTAATTTTTCAACTCTACAGTGAGCACATGTGTAGATGCACCCACTATGAATTTAAATCATAAAAGTCATGACCCAAACTCTTATCTTCTTGTATAACCCGGACTCTTATCTTCTTGTGGTATCTTATGTATGTTGTGGAGCTGTGTTCCAGGCAAGAATAAAACATAGTGGTAGAGGATATGATTCAACGTTATGAGCGAAAGTATAGGAATAAGGTAATCTTGGGAGACGTGATCAAGGAATAACAAAGTTGCAGAAATACTGGAGTCAAAGATGCTTTGAGAGCCTTGCTGTATACAACTCCTTGGAGACAGAAGATAGATTTGGAGAGCCAGCAGAGGTAATATCAATTCAGTTTCATATATCTACATAAGCAGCGCATTGTGCTTTCCATGTGAACTTTAACTGCCATGTGAATAATTCTGTGTGACCCTGTAAGTCAAAATTTAACTTGTAAATCAATACTCCCACACTTTTTAGGACAAAGCCCAAGCTTTGAAACAGTAAGAGAGAAATGAAAAAGCTAAAAATAAATTAATTAAATGTTTCTATGGAAAGAACTCCCCCCTCCCCTCCCAAACAAGTCTTTCAAACTCAAAGGAAGCATTTATAGGTCAACTCAGATGGAGAGGGTTTTGTTATTTGGAGGCAAAGGATCTTTTATGTAACTTAACATGGGTTAGTTATTAGTGTTCATGATAATGATAAAGGCCTTCAGAAATAATCTGAGTTGGTTACAGGGAGACAATTCACTAATTTTAACTGATTAACTCTAGTTTAATCCTGTGTAAAACAATAAAGGTTTTCCATTCATATATAGCACTAAAAGCACTGCAAACAATTTCATAGTGTTATTACAATCTATATTTATATGATTTACGAATGATACAATGTAAAAAAAAACAACCCACGACTACAACAAACTTACCTGACAGTCTAAACAAATTATTATGCACAATCAAGATTTGTGGAGATAATATGGTCTTATGCTATGTTTTACAGTTCACACAACTCGCTTCCCATATTTGGGACACTAAAGCCCCAGTTGGTTGACCTTTAGGAATGGTATAGAGCTTCACTGACTTTCTCCACATTTTGTAGGAGAGGTGAAATAACAGATTTTGAAGCAATATTTTTTATGACATGCTTACTACATTTTAAAGGCCAGAGAAGTTGATAATGTATGTTTTTAGCTGATTATACAAATTTGTGAATTTGTCATATTGCATAGTGGTTTTGGGTGAGCCATACCCCAGTCACAGTGTGGAAAGTTTTTTTGGCTAGGGACAGAAGTTACACACAAACCAGTTTAAGTAATCAAACTGGTTTAAACCTGTAACAGAACAGAAGCTCAGTGCACATAAACCAGTTTAAAAATGGTTGAAACTGGTTTAAGATAAACCTGGTTGAATGTAGAATCAGACTTAAGTGATTTGGGTCATATAGGTTTATGAAACTTCTGTCCCAGACCCCTTCGTGGTTCAAGTTAAAGTTCCCCAGCATCCCAGCATGTTCTCTGGAGCCCTGTGCTGGGCTGGGCTGAGCTGTGCTGTACTGTCTGCACCAGCAGAGAAGGGTTAGGGCTGGGGGAAAAAGGCAGGGACTGCTCACCCAGGCAAATCCTGGCTGAGGTCTGGGGCCGGGGAAGGGGGTTAAACCTAATTTCCCCTTAAACCCCACTTCCTCTGAGTACGGAGCTGCCCTGGTAAACTTACTGAAAGCTACTGCTGGCTGCGACTGTGGACTACAAATCCGAGAGGCAACTGGAAGCAGGAAGAGGAAGTGATGAGCAAGCCTGCAGAATCTCTGCTTCAGTGATGCTGGACTGCAAATCCCAGAGACCCTGGGGGCAGCAGGAAGAGGAAATGCCAGTGAGCTGTGCTCTAGCGCCTCCAGCTTCTGGCTTGAGCCACTACAGACATGTAGTTGCATTTCCTAAATCAAAGGCAAATGTGTGTCCAGTTGTTCCTCAATTTAATCTTTGCAGCTTCGACTACCCTGCAAAGACTGAATCAATTCAGCCTTAGGCTTTTTGACTGTCTATACTTAGCCTCTGATACAAACAGATATTTATCCTTTTGTGTTACTTTCATGATTTCAAAAGGCCAACTCTGGTTGAACAGATGTCTTGTAATAGATCACTGGCGACACGTAGGGTGTGCACATGCACCCCCTAAGATTGGTGGTGCGCTCCTTGAAAGAAGCGTCACCGATGGTGCCTGCAGGTGGTCACTGCTTGCCACCCTCCTCCCACACTGTTGACACTGCCGGCGGCATCTGGGGGCTGTTGCCAATCGCCGCCACTTGCAAGTCATCGCCAACTACCAGTCGGCGCTCACCATACCCTTTCCCCACCCTGCCGCCAACATCACCGGGAGCTCCCCACTTGCCCCCCAGCCTCCAGGGGCACACATTGTTCATGTAACAGATTAA